ACCCCAAGGGGGGGAGCTCTCAAACACTTTTCTAGAGCTCCCTTCCCTTCTTTCCCTCAAATTCTCTTAATTTTGCTTTCTAGTTCTCAATTCTAGCTTTGCTTTTGCTTCTTAGTTGTAATTTATTTTTCATTATGTAAATTCTTTTCTTTAGTTTTTCAAGTTTGATTAGTTTCCAAGTTTCAATTATGGTTTTTGTTCTTATTCATTATGCTTATAAGTTAATATGCTAGTTTGAATGATTGATCACCATTTAGGCTTGCATGTTAGCTATCTTGGTTTGAATTAAGAGTATACACCATGCTTTAATTCGAATTGAACTATGAATAGGAAGAGTATGTATGGACATTCGACAACAGGGATTAGATACATGCTTGGTTGTTTAAATTGTTCTTCTATGCTTAATGGGTTCCTAATGCTTAATTTTAGGTTAGACAACAAATGATCAAATTAGGGAATTAGGAACACAAGGTTATGACCACACACCATGGCTTAATCATACTTTAGCTAGAATCAATCCATTAATCTAAATTGAACTTGGGAACTTATTTGCTTGAGTTACTTATTTCTTTCTTCCTTGTTTTATGTTCTTTTGTTTTCATTTCTGTTTGTGTAGGAAAACTGAATTGGATTATTCAATCACCAATCCCTGTGGAATCGATCTCGCACTTACATATGATATACTACCAACGGTTCGTGCACTTGCGAGTATCACAAGTTGAGGATGCAGCTTAATCCATTTTGGTGCAGCTAAATCTAACTTGTTGCGTAGAAAAAATCCATCCTGAGCATGGCTCTGTGTTTGCTAGGTAACGGACTCCAGATTTATCCAATGGGGCTGAATTTTGGATATGTTATAGTACACACCCATTGGAACAACTTTCATGAAGAATGCGGCCTCAAGGAAGCTATTTTCTCGCTCATCGCGGCACACTCCCGTGTTCTCGCCAGTAATCGCATGCCCAAATTGGTAGCTGAGACCGCATGGAGCACAGTTAAGTTGTGGGACTCTTCCACCGCTGCCTTGTCAGACCTCTTTGCCACGTGCAGATGATCTGTCGGTTTGAGCTTGCTGCCAATCATGCTTTCCAGCAGCGCTGCTCTGTTCGGCACTGCCTCAGAAAAGTTCGGTATTACCTCAGCAAAGTTTGAGGCCGTACCGTGATGATATGTGGAGTTTGGGAAGACATGGTTTTGAGGAGCCCTTATCTGCGCATTCGGTGGCGCAAGGGATAATTCAAGGTTGAGATCATCAAGGTGAGTGCATGAGGATGCCATAGTTTTGTTTTTGGATTTTTTGATGTTTTTCTCTGAATTTGCAGGAAGAAATGTGGGATGCTCTTCTACTTCACCGAGATGAGTTTAAATAGACTTATACAGACGAGGGAGCCGAAAGCACTTCGGATCTCGAGGGTGCTATCCTGTGCTCTTTTCTCTCGGATCCCTTCATTTCCGGCGCAAATTGCGAGCGCGTTTTTTTTAAAAGGGAGCATGTTACACTTTCACTTACTTTTGCCTCCCTGTTTTCTGATGTTTGTGTTTTTGCTTTTTCAGTTGTTATTTTATTTTATTTTTATTTTATTTTATTTTCAATTGTTTTCTTCTTGTTTGACAGGTTTCTTAAGAATTTAATTTGAAGAAGAGACAAAATTAAAGATGCGTCTTGGACACCTGGTGCAAGAATTCCATCTCTTCTTTTAAATTCTTGTTTGAATTGAGTGTTTATTTCAGTTTTTATGTATTTATGTATTTATTTTGTTTTTATTTAATTAGGTAGTACAATTTAAACTCATAGGATATTCTTTGAAGGAGCTAAACTTTTGGTAACTCCAGTGAGCAACCGCGGTCTATACAGTGTCTAGGAGTTCTTTAGGCGGCACCTTCGGTGTCTAAGAAGTTTGGGTTTTAAGAGGGACCATTGTGACCCCTCCAACCTTCCCGGATCCCCTGGCTGTGTTTTCTGAGGCCCTTAACTGGTCATCCTTAAGTTTTTCTCTTAAAAGAAGAAGTAGTTACTTGTGTGTTTACTTAACTAAAAATAAAAATGCATGTTTGGGTTTTCATGTTTTTGTTTGATCGTCGTTCTTTAAATTTAGGGTCAATTGTCTCTTTGAAATAGCATAACATTTTTTTATTTCCCAATTTTAAAAAAAAAAAA